TAACAAAACTTTGTAGCCAACTTGGTACATTCCCACACCTCCAAGTCTCACACTTTGATATAGAACAGTTACTCCATACAGCTAGTGGTTACTCCACTTTGCATAAATATCACAACTTCACATGTGTTTTCTGCTCTGGTTTTGTACAAGAGGGAGCTGAAAGCATGTGACAAGTTATACAATATATAGGAACATCTGATAACAGTATTAGAGAGTCCTGAAGATCCATGGCTCTTCAGAGAAGAGAGGAGAGTTTTTTGTTTATTTTGACTAGCAGCACAAGAATAGGTTCATCCGCAGAGTGTTACCCTTGTTAAGGGCAAAGGTTCTTCTGGTTGCTGGACAGAGAAACATCACAACAGCTAAGCAGCACATTAACAAGAAGTGTTTTAGTTCTAGAATTACTGCTTAGCCCTAGCTTCACACGGTCTTTAAGTGGCTAAATGAAATGTGTTATCTTAGCAAAGCAATCGTGTTTAGGTAAGATTCTCTTCGTCCATCCGTATTCCTTATGCAGTTGTGATTTATGTTCCAGGTGGACAAAGGTAGTCCCTATCTTCAAAAGAAGTCTTCCTTTGTTCAAGGGTTCGGAATTACAGGAGAGAGCTTCAAGTTAAAGCTATTTACAAAGGCCTGCCTTTGACAATGGCTACGAACAGGGCTAAGTTCCTACCAGTCTTTCTCACAAACCCATCATGGGAGTACTGGGATTTCACAGACAGCCCCTCTGCCTGTTGCAGTCCTGCAGAACCATGGTAGTATTGCTTTTCACCTTGACAACTGCCTTATGAAGTAGGGAGAATAATGCCTCAGCCTAGACATTTTAGAAAAGGAGTGATCTAAACTATTGTCTGCTAACAGAGAGATTAGATGCATTCTCCCAGCTAATGCTCTGAAGATGAGACATTTCAGATTTAACTGGCAAGTGAGCAAGAATTGGAAGGTAGGCACTCAAATACTCTTTGGAGGGCAAAAGAGCGAGATGAGCATGGCACAGCCCGTCAGCTCAGCCATGAGGTAGAGACCTTGAACTGTACAAGTATCTGGCTCAGACTCAACGTAGCAGGAGCATATACAACAGGAAGAAGCAATGCTACGATAACTGCAGATAAAGAGTTCTGTTGGAGTTACACAAACAAAATAAGCAGAAGACAGGATAAGATAGCAACAGGAGATGGCTTCAAAAAAAATCTACAGTTCAGCTAGACATGAGAATTTGGCTGAGCACAGTAAAGAGCAAAGCAAACCCTGAGACACTGCAAGAGCTGTAGAGAAATCTGTTCCTGTTTCCAAAAGGAAAAGACAGCTCTTCACTGCCCATGTGCAATAAGCATTAGTATAAGACAAGTTGTTCCAGAACCACAGCCAGTGAAATTCTAAGCTTCCAGTATGGAAATGAATTAACTTGTGGAAACAGCTTCAGCCTGGTTGCACAGCAGATCTCAAAAGCCTGTAACAAAACTCTTCCAAAAGAGAGCTTGAAGAATATAATGCTTAAAATACAAAAACTCTGCATCAACGTGTCAGAACAACTGGAGAAAGGACCAGAGATGGAGCTTGCAGCCACTTGCATAAAATTAGTGGCTTTCCTCACCAATTCTTTTGGGAGATAACAGTATCATTCTACATGTCTTGCACTTTTCAAGCAGGGCAGAGGTTTGTGAAGGCTGGAATCCACTCCAATCTACTTGAGTGCATTCTTGCAGTCATGGGTCCTGTGGAGTGTCTCAGATCTTAAAATCAAGCCTGTGATAGTTTTACTTGATTTCAGCCACGGATGAAACACCCCAGATCTAGATAAAGTAAAGCTTCTAGACCAACTCTGGTTAGGAACAGGAGGGCTACTAGCTGTGGGGGGGGGAAATGACAGAGGATGTGTACATTGGAAGTACTACTGTGCTATACTGCCTCATCTGCAATGGCAGAAGCCTCCCCTGGCATCATGCCCTGCTACTTTGCCAGTGTTCTGCAGCCAAAGGCCAAGTTAGAAGCTATTTGTCCTTAATGGGTAGAGCTTCTTAACTAACTGCACATGGAACAATGCTCATGACTGCTGAACCTTCGTTTAACAGTAGGCAGCATCAGTTTGCTGAAGTCTTGTGCCTTTGCTAGAAAGAGGTAGGCTTTGAAGTGTCACAGCAGATGGCCTACCAATTTAAGTTGTCTCAGGCTGTAATCCTTTCAGCAGAGCACCTCCTCATCATGTTAATTGGCACTGGCTTTCTTCCATTGGACTTGGAGGATTTTTTGCAGTTGGGGAAGCAAGACTGCATCATCTGTTCTAGTCTGCTTTTACCACAGAAAGAGGAGTATGTCCTGCAGAGCCTAGCAAGAAAGGAGATCTGCAGCCATCTGCATTTCTACCTGTCGGTGTTGTTACCACACCCACAAGGATCTGAAATACTGACTAGTATTAATTGTTTTATATAACAAAGAGTGTGGCTTCAGTGCCAGGGACTCATGCATCACCTTTAGTGTACCCAGTAGCTACTCATCCACTGTGTTAAGTACATAACTGCATTATCAGAGATCAGCACAGTCCAAGTCCCAGCAGCTACCTACTGCTTACAGAGCTCTTCACAGAAAAATAGGTGCTTTTTGTCACAGCACCTGTTAGTCACAGTACAGTCAGCCTGCCATGAACCTGAGCAGGCCCACAGAGGGGAGAAGGGGAGGATGCTTCTGGCAGCCAGGCAGATAGAATGGAGGACAGGTTCTGTCAAGACATTCTTGAAGTCTTACAGACTATTCATGAAGACTTCCTCAAGTTTCAATGCTTTTCTAAAGCAAAGATCCTTAATCTCTGTCCCTCACCGCCTCAGGCCAGTCTCGTAACTTTGTCACCTGCTGAAGCAGGTCAGATGAAGGTCTAGCAAGGTCTGGATCACTACTTATAGCAGAAACAGTATGACATTCAGACCTTCAGGTTCATGATGTACTGGTTAAGTACTAGGATTTGTGCACAGCTGTACAATCACCTACAGGCAGACTCTTCACACATTCCTACGGAATTTGTAGGATTCCTCAAGACATCCAAATTTACAGGTACATGAGATCAGATGACTCTAGCATCACGTTTGGTTTCCTACAGTGCAGAGCAAGTAGGAACTAACTGCCTGTGTTGGAAATGCATGAGCCCTGCCAACTATGCAGGCTGCTATCTGGTAAGGGAGCAGCTTCACATTCTTTCGTTATGTTATGCAGTTCAAACACCTTGAGTAGTTAGCCTGCCCAGAAACAGATACTAAAACTATCAAGAAGTTCACTTAATCCAAGTTTAAAATTCAGCTGAATTTTATAAACTTGAAGGCTGCATGTGAGATGCAAAATGAGCTGGGAAGTTTCCAGCTGATCTCATTCTCTCCCTCCTTCATTCTCCCAGGAGATTTGCCAAGACTCTAGATTGACAGAGCAGCTTGGATCCACATAAAGTAAAACCTCAAGAGCTTGGTATTCCATCTTCTGGATGGCAGCCTCCCCCAGTGGAGCAGTACACACCAGAGAAAGCGTTCAGGATTCAGCCCTGGAAGAATAAAAATGGGTTTAAAATTCTGCAGGTATTGGCTTATTGTCAAATGAAGATCATACAGTCTCCTGTTAAGTGCAGCTAGTCAATACTGCAGCTTCTACAAACTCAATGTTAATTTTCACCTATCCTGCCTTAGCAAGCATACAGCTCAACCAGATAGCTTGTCTATCTAAGCTTCCACAAAGGAAGTGGGAGAGGTGGTTCAGCTAGGTCTTCCAACCAGATAAACTCATCTCTGGAGACAGTTAGCCTGCAACCACCTGGTGTTGCAAGCACATTGCTCTCATTCAACAAGTATTAGGTAACAGCAAGAGACATTTAGAAATGTTGCTGTTTAGAGGCAAGTGCTGCACTTAATACCAAATATCCCTGCCTAACTCAAGGACCTTACAGGCAAGCCTATACCACTCCTAGAGTCTCGCTGCTTCACTTCTGAAATTCAGAGTTCTGCACCTTTCTCTGTGTTTCAAGGTGTTACATTGCTTTTTGCCATCCATTTCCAGAGAGACACAACCACAGATACAATCATATTGAGGGGAAAGTGATTCCACACAATTGCAGTTTTTGCAAGACTGGTTTTTGGAACAGTCTTACCTTCATACTTGCAGTACGTGACAGT